GGGCGAACATAGTCCATGGCATGTGGATTTTCAGAGTGAAGCGGCCGCCTGGTTCTCCGCCTGCCTTCAAGGCGCGTTACGTTGCTCGAGGCTTCAGTCAGCGACAGGGGGTCGACTTCTTCCAGACCTTCTCCCCCACCCCGAAGATGACTACTCTTCGGGTGCTGCTGCACGTTGCAGCACAGCGTGACTACGAGCTGCACTCCCTCGATTTCTCCACAGCGTTCCTGCAGGGCAGCCTTCACGAGGAGATCTGGCTGCGCCGCCCACCCGGCTTCACTGGCTCGTTTCCTGCGGGTACCCAGTGGAGCCTCCGGCGGCCAATCTACGGTCTCCGTCAGGCGCCCCAAGAGTGGCACAACACACTGAGGACTACACTCGCGGCTCTAGGGTTTGCTCCTTCCTCTGCTGAGCCGTCGCTGTTTCTACGCACCGACACTACCTTGCCGCCGTTCTACGTTCTAGTGTACGTCGACGACTTGGTTTTTGCTACTGCTGACACTGAGGCGCTGGCCCTAGTGAAGGCGGAGCTGCAGGAGAGACACACATGCACTGACTTGGGTGAGCTGCGTAGCTATCTTGGCTTGCAGATCACCCGGGACAGAGCACGGCGCACCATCACCCTGACTCAAACACACATGGTGCACCAGGTCCTTCAGCGCTTCGCCTTCCAGTTCTCCTCGCCACAGCCCACTCCTCTGTCTACCGGCCACTCGCTCTCAACTCCACCTTCGGACGAGTCCGTAGAGCCGAGTGGTCCGTACCCAGAGCTTGTGGGTTGCCTCATGTACCTGATGACATGCACACGACCTGACCTCGCGTACCCTCTCAGCCTCCTGGCTCGCTACGTGGCTCCCGGTAGACACTGAAAGGTGCACTGGGATGCTGCGAAGAGGGTACTGCGTTACTTGTGCAGTACATCGCGCATGGGGCTAGTTCTTGGAGGACCGGACACTCCGACGCTTCTTGGGCCGACGACCAGGCAACTCAGCGTTCGTCACATGGTTACACCTTCAGTCTTGGCTCTGGTTCTGTCTCGTGGAGGTCCACTCGTTGTTTTTCTGCGCTTGGTTCCAGCTGTGAGGCCGAGATCTACGCTGGGGCCATGGCTGCACAGGAGCTACGCCGGCTGACCTACCTGCTGACCGACTTGGGGGAGCGGCCTCGTTCTCCTCCAGTTCTGTACGTCGATAACAAGGCAATGCTTGCCTTGTGTCACGAGCAGAGACTGGAGCACATAACGAAGCACATTGCTCTTCGCTACTTCCTTGCGCGTGAGCTGCAGCAGCGTCGTCAGCTCCGCCTTTCCTACGTGGCCTCGCGGGCCAACACTGCTGATGTGTTCACCAAGGCCCTTGGGTCTGGTGATCATCAGCGTTTCTGCACTGCTCTTGGGCTTGTGCCCACTCTGCCTCACCTGCTCGTTGCTTGACTTACTCTTGTTGTACACTGATATATATCTTTATACCTGCTTGTTTACTCTTGCTAGGTTGTGATCAGTGGTACTGCCTTGCTATTATAACTCTGCATGTGAACTGGCCTTGTGGCCGCTTGCTTGTGCTCAGATTGTGTGGTGTCCTTGAGATCCACCCTGAGCTTTGTTTTGCTTTGCTTTTGCTCTGTTGTCTTCCTTGACTGGTCTTGACCGTCTTGTTATCCCCCACTTAGCCTATGGGGGTGTGTCGAAGTACATCTTATTTGTAGGCTATAGTGGGGCACTCCTTACGGGGTACAGCACTTCTAGGGTTAGCATTTGTACCCCAACCCTTGCTAATCCAATCATTCGTGCATTGTTCTCTCGATATCAATATATGTTGCAGTTTGCCAGACTTCTTTTAGTTTACAAGCCTATTAACTATCCTTCAGTGCAGAGAGTACTCATCTTGATTGCAACTCCTATGGCATGTCTTTTCTCTTGCACTGTACTGTAAAAAACAAAATATAGCAGCAACTACAGTAATTTTGATTTCTCCTTGTGCTTGCCTGCCTTCAATAATGTTGGGCTGAAGAAAAGCCCTGAGGATCGTTTTCAAGACTTAAGTATAAGAGTAGTGATGTATTAGCGGAAGCGTAATAGTGAACCGATTGAACCACCTTGCACTGGTATGTGAGAACAAGATGATTTGATAGTAGCAAAGGCATACAAAGCTTTATATGATTACAACGGAATATGAAAGGTTTCACTAACTGTAACTGCTGTTGCGGTTCGATTAAGCGACGACTCGGGTAACTGCTCAATACTGAGTCAATTATGTGTCCTTTCTGTCGCGCTGCTTTTCGGAGAGTCAAAGGTAGCTGACCTTTGACCTTCACTCAACCTCTTGCTGTTGTCTTTGTTGGGCTGAGAAAACCCCTTAGGATCTTTTTCAGGACTTGAGATTGGGTGTTGATGTGGAGTTGTAATAGCGGAGGTCTTTAATAAAGAGTTGACGTGAACCACCTTGTGCTAGTTTGTGAGAACAAGATAAGTTGCTAATAGCAGAGAAGTACAAGGCTTTTTATATGATTACAAGGAATATGGAAAGTTCTATCTTAACTGTTTTTGCTGTTGCGGTTCGGTATAGTGCCGACTCGGGTAACTGCTCTGTAACGAGTCAGTTATGTGTCCTTGCTGTCGCACTGTATGTTTCGTCAGGTCAAAGGTCGGGGACCTTTGACCTTCGCGCAACCTCCGACAGTTGACTCAGGTGCTTCTTCGCTGTAGTCAGTTCCGTTTTGTGTCGAAGCTTCGATAAATTACTTGTTTCCAACAGTCTTTCTGTCAACCGCTTTGGTTGACTCGCTGTTGCTTCGCCTGAGTTCGCTTCGCTTTAGTTGTAGTGCTCGACACATCAGAAGCGCGAACTATATGTTTCCAACAAATAATCAGTCTGTTGCAAGATGTGGGTTAAATCTACAACTACTAGCGAGGTGTAGGTAGGTGAGGTTTGATGGCCAATGGCTTAACAGCGGATTGGCAGAGACATCTAGAATCTGACCTGCACATTCCATATGGTATACGACAGACAAACAGGCAAATGGGCAAACGGACAAATGGACAAACGGGCAAATGGGCAAACGGACAGATACGTTAAACATCACTCAAGAGAAATATGCAGCAGTGAGTAATCAGCAGGAATAAACATCTTTTACATGCCGACTTGTGTGACGTTTAGTACTCAACGGATTGCGGGCAGTAAAATAAACACACACTGACATTTATCCTGGAAAAGAGAGGATAGGCAAGAGAGGTCAGAGGATAGGTAGGTTTGAAGGTCTAGATTAATGAAAAGAACAAAGGAAATGACAGGGATGAGAGAGAGGGGGGAACGCGAGGGGGATGAGACAGATAGAGAAGGAAGAAGCAGAGGATGATTACAAACAAGCAAACCAACCAACAAGACAAACTTAAATAAAAACAAAAACAGAAATCAAGGAGGAAGTAGGTTTCTTGTCCGATAACGGAGGGTCCACAGAGCATGGATCGACTAACACGCAAAGCAATTCCTCAGTGGGCACACACACAGATACATCAGCCGTTGCTGGCTCGCCTGCAGGTCAATGCAAGCCCAGAGGGGGTTCTACAGCATGCAATGGCCCACAGCCGCGTACTCCCTTCCCCCCCCCCCTCCCCCCCCTCCCCATACTTCCCCCCAGGTACTCTCCCCCCGAAAACTCCTCTCAAGAGAAATATGCAGCAGTGAGTAATCAGCAGGAATAAACATCTTTTACATGCCGACTTGTGTGACGTTTAGTACTCAACGGATTGCGGGCAGTAAAATAAACACACACTGACATTTATCCTGGAAAAGAGAGGATAGGCAAGAGAGGTCAGAGGATAGGTAGGTTTGAAGGTCTAGATTAATGAAAAGAACAAAGGAAATGACAGGGATGAGAGAGAGGGGGGAACGCGAGGGGGATGAGACAGATAGAGAAGGAAGAAGCAGAGGATGATTACAAACAAGCAAACCAACCAACAAGACAAACTTAAATAAAAACAAAAACAGAAATCAAGGAGGAAGTAGGTTTCTTGTCCGATAACGGAGGGTCCACAGAGCATGGATCGACTAACACGCAAAGCAATTCCTCAGTGGGCACACACACAGATACATCAGCCGTTGCTGGCTCGCCTGCAGGTCAATGCAAGCCCAGAGGGGGTTCTACAGCATGCAATGGCCCACAGCCGCGTACTCCCTTCCCCCCCCCCTCCCCCCCCTCCCCATACTTCCCCCCAGGTACTCTCCCCCCGAAAACTCCTCCCCCCCCCCCCCCCCCGAATACACCCCTGCCTGGGTACACCTCATCCCCCCTCCAATACTCCCCCCCTCCTGCCGGTACTCTCCCCCCCCCTTCTCCCTACTCCCCCTCGAGATTTCAAAAGAAGGAGAGTAGTGAGAGAGGAAGCTAGGCGGTGGCTAGGCGGATACATAAGGGAGCAACTCGGTAACTGGGTTTCCCCCAGGGAAAGTGCAAGCAGGACTGGGTATTCCTTTTGCACTCACGTTGCTCCCGTGTGCTGTGGCCTTCTCAGTTGCGAATGAGGGAGAAAGGACGGACGGACGGACGGAGGGGCGGAGGGAGGGGCGGAGGGAGGGAGGGAGGGAGGGAGGGAGGGAGGGAGGGAGGGAAGGAGGGAGGGAGGGAGGGAGGGAAGGAGGGAGGGAGGGAGGGAGGGATGAGGGAGGGAGGGAGGGAGGGAGAGAGGGAGGGAGGGAGGGAGGGAGGGAGGGAGGGAGGGATGGATGAGGGAGGAGGGACGGACGGAAGGAGCAGAATGAGAGAGGGGGAGAAGGAGAAGGAGAAAAGCGCCAGGTTCTCTTTGCTTACAGCGTGAACGCCAACTCGCCTCACTCACACCTTGCTTCTTCTTCCTTCCCACTCACTCACCCACTCACTCACCCACTCACTCACCCACTCACTCTCAATCAATCAAACGCTTACCCGTTCACTCACTCACTAAATCATTTACTCACTCACCCTAATCAAAGATATCGCCATGGACTATCCCTCCAACCCACCTCTTAGCGAGCAGCGCTCGTCCCCACCAGCACTCCTTGCGACGATCCCGCAGCTTTGCTAGACTCCGCTCCCCCCGCTCCGCCTCCCGCGCTTCCCCCCGCGCCCCCCTCCGCGCCGGCCCTCCCCCGCGATAGCTCATCGACCGGCCGCACGCGGATATTGAACCTCGCTTCCAGCGCCGCCAGATCCTGCCGTTTCTTCGCGAGCGTCTCCGCGAGTCGCGTAACCACCGCGTCGAGCGCCGCCGCGTTACGCGCGACCGCGGGAACCACCTCCCCGATGCGCCGCTCGACCAAAACTCCGCCGACCGCGCGGAAGCAGCGGCGGGAGGGGTCCATCCCCTCGATCGCGGCGGAAACTAGCCGGTGCTCTGCCAATTCCTGCTCGTGCTCCGCGATGCGGGAATAAAGCCGTTGGATATCCGCGCGTAGCTCGTTCCATCTCGCGATGATCTCTTTCTCCGATGTGAAGTTCTCCTCGCTGCCTCCGGAGGTGCCGGCGCCGGTGTCGGCGGGCTTTGCGGAGGACGCGGAGGAGTCGTCGGTGGGTTTGGGTTGCGAATCCGACGGTTGCGATGGCGTGGTGTCCATGCTCGCAGGATCGGACGATGAATCCATGGCGTGAGAGGAGAAAGGATTAAAAAACTAAAGTAACGAAAAAACTCGCCGACAGATAAAGATGACGTTCGAAGGCAACTAAGTCTACCAGAACTCAGAACACGCGTGCGAGGGGCTGATACAATGTGAATTGCGCGATTCACGGCGGTAATCCAATCCGCCGGTGACACGTGCAGAGAGTGAAATGGGGTGAAGTGGCAGAACTGGATCGTCGTGACTCGTGAGGTGAGGATAGTTGTGAGTAGTGGCGATTGGAGGTAGGGAGGAAGATTAGGAGAGGAGGGGAAGGAGAAAAGTGGAAAAGCAGCGAGATTTGGTTTCGCTTGCAGTGGGGGTAAGCGAAGAACAACGAAACCGTGGCTTCGGGTTCGCGAAGGTCTCTCCTAACGTCCTGATATTCTCTTCATGTCGCATGTGAGCATCCTTTATCTCATTCTCACACAACCGTACATTGTGAAGCATTGACCATGCACCCTCTTGAATGAAGAAGTGCCCAAGATTTTATTGAAATCAAAAGCAACCATCACAGCAAAGCATCTTCCATCAATAGCGACCTAAATAACCAAATACCAGTATGACCAACCCTTGCCAGTGTCCGTTACGTTGGCATAACAAAATCCTACTATCCTCCAAAGCAGCAAAACAGGGAGCCTCCTCCCTGGCCCGCTGCATCATCCTTCTTACCTTCCACTCCACTTTCCTCATCCCATTTCTTTTGAAACCATGCATGCTTTAAAAGGTCTTGGCTCTGAATCCTCTCCTCCGGATTAATCTGCAGCATGGATTGGTACAAATCCTTCCCTTCCTCCGTCACTGCCGACCATTTTTTCTTGCTCGGCGGTGGCACGCCGTACCTTGCCACATCCTGGGGCTGCTTATAACGAGGTAACTCCCCAAACAGCAGTGCGTGGAGCACCACCCCAAGGCTCCACACATCCGCAGAATAGGTGTACTTTTGTCCGGTTACCAGTTCCGGGGCCATGTAACCCTCGGTGCCACACTTCCCTTGCAGCTTCTGCCCTTCCTTGACAATCACCGCAAGCCCGAAATCTGCGAGCTTTATCGTGAAAGGGAGCTCTGAGAACAAGCAAGACGTGACAGGAATCCCTTCGGGTGGAGGACCAGCAACTTTCACCTTGCCGCAAGTGCACTTGCTCTGCCTGGGCCTTGCGATCTCCTCCTCAGTAGAGCTTCTAGGAAGAGATTCTACTGCTGCTGCTGCCGGCATCTCCTTCCCTGCTTCTGACGCCCCGCCCTCGGTCCTTCCGCTCTCGTCTCCCACCCTTGAGCTCTCTCCTGCAGCCATCTTCTCAGCATCTCCAACTGAATCGATTGTGAAGAGTCGAGGCACCTCATCCTTCTCCTCTATATCCTGCAAGTCGCAGTCCAGGCAGAACCTCTGGTTCAGCGCCAGCAGCACATTCTCAAGCTTTATATCCCGGTGCACCACGCTCTTGGCGTGACAGTACTGCACTGCTTCCACTAGCTGCCGAAACACGTCGACCGCTTCCTTTTCGGGCAACCCGCCTGAATATCCGAGCTTGATTTTTTTCCTGGCTGCGGTGCCGGCCTCCATCTGCTTTACAAGGTGATCCTTTAGAGTGCCGCCGTCGCAGAGCTCCATTACCACGCGGAACCTGTCTTTAGTGTTGTAAACTTTCTTCACCTGCACAGAGGATGGAAAAAGAGATAGGGTAACACAAGTTTGGAAAAGGCAAGGGAGGAGTAAGGGAATGGAAGGGCCAAGCAACATGGAAACTAAGAAAGAAAGAAACAGAAGAAACAGGGGGGTTGAGTGGGTGGAGGAGGTGGGGTTGGGGGAACGGGGGAAATGGGGAGGATGAGTACGCCATTGCTGTCTGATACCAAGCAGTGCCTCAACTAGTTCCTGCCCTTCGAAACACGACATATATATTTTAGGGTTACATGGTTATTCGCCCTTTTGCTACTCACTAGGTTGCCCGTCCCTTCCCCCCTTTCCCTTGCCCCGCCCATCATACTCCGCATAACCTTCTCCAGCCATCGCAAAACTGCCGTGTCATTTCCAACGTCGCCACCAAGTAACGAGAGGGCAGGTGTGGAAACGGGCAACGGGAAACCGAAACCCACAGGGAAACCTAGGCATGAAAAAGGAACCCCGAAACCCTAATTCGACAACGGGATTTGTTGGCGGCATCCACGGTGCCTCCCGCCCTAAAAATGGTTCGATTCCTTCTAGCACCACCTGTTGACATCCCGTCGGATTCTTGAGCTGTTTTGGTTGCCTGCTGAAATATTATGCTGATCATGCCCCTCCCGCATTCTGAAGCCAACTCAGCGTGAACCCATCCGCACTCCCCCCCACCCTTTCCACTTTTCGCTCTCCACCTCCTCCAATTCCCCCGTTCCCGCCTCTTCCCAGCTCAACCCTCCCCCGCTCCCCGGCCCGTCCCACCTCACCTGCACGATATTCGGGTGGTCGCGCAGTAGCCCTAGAATCTTCACCTCCCGCTCCAACGCGCGGTGCCTCTCCATCAGCTGCCCCGCGTTCTCGCACTCCTCGTACATCGCGACTTTATCGATGGTTTTCACCGCGAGCGGCTGCGAACCCATCTCGCCGGTAAGATCGCTGCACTTGTTCACCAGCCCGAAACCGCCTTTGCCCAACTCCGCGCCGACCTGGAACCGTCGCGTGAACTGCATCGAAAACGGCGACGTGCCCCACGATGCCAAGCGACGCATGCGACGCGCGACCATTACCACTTTGCCTCCTCCTCCTCCGCCGCCTCCGCCGCCGCCGCCGCCGCCGCCGCCGATGCGCTTTTTGAACGCCTCGAGCGCGGCGATGCTTTGAGGAACCATTCTCCCGCTAGGAGATTTCGCGAAACCGTCGCGGTCTTCTGCCTTTTCCACGGCACCAGCAATGTTAGCGCCGGCGGCGGCGGCACCGGCGTCGGGAGCATCGGGCTCCGCGAAAGCGACGCGTCGAGAGCTTCCGCTTCCCCCTTTTCGAATACCCGGACCTTCCGCCGCGGCCGCTGCTGCTGCCGAGGCTGCCTTCGTTGCTGTCGCTGCTGCTGCACCTGCTTCCCCTGTCGCTCCCGCTGTTTCTTCCCCTCCTGCCGCTGCTAATGCGGCAGCGTCAACCGATGTTTCCGCCTCCGTACTCTGCGTTGCCGAATTTGCCGGAGCTTCTCCCTCCAACTGGGTTGTACTAACTTCTGCCGTGCCCGCTGCTTGCGCCGTTTCAGAGGGTTCCGCCATCCCGAGAGAGCTTCAAACGGGGATTTTTACAGCGGAGCTGAAGCAGACTCACAATATCATACCAGGTAGACGCAGACTCACTGCCTGCCACTAGGGTGCTGGGTCAGCGAAAAGCACTGAAAGAATAGCCTCGAGAATGTCTCAAGGAACGAGATTGTCGCGACCGGTTCGAGGGGTTGTTCTGACGCTTGGTATGAACGATAGTTTGCGGTCGCGATAAGTTAAGAGGGGGTTGCTGATGGTTCGCGATGTCAGTCTGAGCCTTGTCGATCTCGTAAGGCCCATGCGCTTATGAATTCAGTAAGCTGGAACCAACGCAAGACGCGGAAAGTGGTGTTAATAAAGAGCTGTCTACATTCCAACCGAGACACTTCTTTGTGGCACTCCGTCCTAATGCTGGACTTCCGCCAAGAATCAAAAAAGGCGGATCAAGCGATGAAGGCCGTCACTAAACTCGCGGTTTGCTCTTTCGTGATGCATGTCAAGAGTCTCCGCTCACCTGCTGAGCCAATTCATGTGACATGAATGAAACAGGCCGTTTTGGTTCAGGCTATTAGTGTGCACTGCTTTGGTGTACAGTATTAGATAGTGCTACATCCCTAGGTTTCGGTCTCCCTTCTTTTCTCGACCCGAGCACTACACATGGAGGGAACACCCAAAACGGTACACCCAAATGAAGCTCTGCAAAACGTTTGGATGAAGCTCTCCAACGCCCATATGACGAACGAGAATGCTCTGAATCGGTCCGCTCGATACGTACACAAAGTGCAACGATGAGCCAACATCATGTCAACATTGCTCGTCGACACGAGCCCGGGAACCTCTGAACGCTCGAAACGTGCAGTCTAGTCATTTGGAGTTCCACTGTAAAGTCAGTGCGTGCTGGAAGTGGAACAACCGCCCGAGAAAAACGTTTGACCTTCGATGGGCATCCCCATCCCCGTGTACAGTTCAATAGTACACCCACATGCCCTCTGTAAATTCTGTCGTGCTTAAATCCAGGCTCGGTGGCCCCCTAGCTTGCCTGGAGCAGTGCTAGACAGAAGCCGTGCTGCAGAAGGTGAGAGGAAGGAGGCGGGAGGACGGACAAGTGGCGTCTTGGGGGAAAGGCTCTGCTCCGGTTAGCGGCACTGTAGTGAACTGTACTGGGCTGTGCAGAGGGGGGGGTGGAAACAAAAAGGAAATTGGGGGGAGGTCCGGGGATAGTGGGGGTGCATGGGGGAGGAGGAGAGGCCGCGCAGCGGAGCGGAAATCAGACCGGCCGCAGGCCACCTTCCGGGTTGGTCACCTGCACAGTCTCCATCCACGCGTCGCCCTGTCCCTCGACCCGACGACCGCACACGCACGCAGGTGCTGCGAAGAGCGGATTTGGCGGCAGAGACAAAGTGGTGTGCGCATTTGACGGGCAGGAGGACTTTGAGTGTCTTGCAGCTGCTGTACCTCGTTTCGCTTCCTTGCTGCTTGCCCCTGAGGGAGACCCGGATGCTCCAGACATCCCGACCCCGCGCTCTTACGCAGAGGCGATTACGGGCCCTTACTCCTCTTAGTGGCAGGCAGCTATGGATGCCGAGATGGCATCCTGGAAGTCCACAGGCACTTACGTCGACGAGGTTCCCCCACCTGGGGTGAACATAGTCGATGGCATGTGGATCTTCAGGGTGAAGCGACCGCCGGGTTCTCCGCCTGCCTTCAAGGCGTGTTACGTTGCTCGAGGTTTCAGTCAGCGACAGGGAGTTGACTACTTCCACACCTTCTCCCCCACCCCGAAGATGACTACTCTTCGGGTGTTGCTGCACGTAGCTGCTCAGCGTGACTACGAGTTACACTCCCTGGACTTCAGTACTGCCTTCCTGCAGGGCAGCCTGCACGAGGAGATCTGGCTGCGCCGACCACCTGGTTTCACTGGGTCGTTTCCTACAGGTACCCAGTGGAGCCTCCGCCGGCCAGTCTACGGTCTCCGCCAGGCGCCTCGCGAGTGGCACGATACACTCAGGACTACACTTGCGGCTCTTGGGTTTGTTCCTTCTACAACAGACCCGTCTCTGTTTCTGCGCACCGACACCTCGCTGCCACCCTTCTACATCCTAGTGTACGTCGACGACCTCATCTTTGCCACGGCTGACACAGAGGCACTGACCCTAGTGAAGTCCGAGCTGCAGAAGAGACATACCTGCACTGACCTGGGTGAACTGCGCAGCTATCTTGGCCTGCAGATCACCCGGGACAGAGCACGGCGCACCATCACACTGACTCAGTCACACATGGTGCACCAGGTCCTTTAGCGCTTCGGCTTCCAGTACTCCTCGCCACAGCTCACTCCTCTGTCTACCAGCCACTCGCTCTCAGCTCCACCTTCGGACGAGTCCGTAGAGCCGAGTGGTCCGTACCCAGAGCTTGTGGGTTGCCTCATGTACCTGATAACTTGCACACGACCTGACCTCGCGTACCCTCTCAGCCTTCTGGCTCGCTACGTGGCTCCCGGTAGGCACCGAAAGGTACACCGGGATGCTGCAAAGAGGGTACTGTGTTACCTGTGCAGTACGTCGGGCATGGGGCTTGTGCTTGGAGGACGGGGTCCTGTTGTCCTTACTGGTCACGCAGACGCCTCCTGGGTTGACGACTCAGCTACGCAGCGGTCGTCGCAGGGTTACACCTTCAGCCTTGGGTCCGGCTTGGTTTCTTGGCGGTCTACCCGCTCGTCTTCAGTTCTCAGCTCCAGCTGTGAGGCTGAGATCTACGCCGGAGCCATGGCTGCTCAGGAGCTACGCTGGCTCACCTACTTGCTGACCGACTTGGGAGAGCAGCCTCGTTCGCCTCCAGTCCTGTACGTAGATAACAAGGCCATGATAGCCTTGTGTCAGGAGCACAGACTGGAGCACAGAACGAAGCACATCGCTCTGCGATACTTCCTTGCTCGAGAGTTGCAGCAGCGTGGTCAGCTTCGTCTAGCGTACGTGGCCACTCGGGCCAACACTGCTGATGTCTTCACCAAGGCACTTCCGCCTGGTGACCATCAGCGCTTTGTTACTATGTTAGGCCTTGTGCCTACTTTGCCTCACTTACTTACTGCCTGACTCTGCCTGTACTGTGATCTATATATATACCTGCATGCTTGCACTTGTTAGGGTATGATCACTGTATTGTTTGTTCTCTTTATATAACTCTGCATGTGAACTGGCCTTGTGGCCCTTTGCTTGTGCTCGGACTGTGTGGTGACTTTGTGATCCACCCTGAGCTTGCTTTGCTTTGCTTCTTCTCTTGACTGGTCTTGTGACCATTGCTTGTTCTGGCTATCCCCCACTTCGCCTATGGGGGTGTGTCAAACATATATGCTTAGTTATATCTAGGCTTAGTTTATGTGTTTATAGTCGTCTAGGCTATAGTGGGTTTAGCCTTAGGGGGTACAGATTTCTCTCGACATTCTACTTGTACCCCTTCCCTTTTCCTAGTCAACTCATCCTCGCCCACTATTCTCACACTAACCCTTCAATACTCACGGCTTTTTTCTTAGCCCTTGTATTGTTTCATTCGTCTCTTTGTTATTCCCTTTTCTCGTCATTTCATCACACCTCATACCCTTTTCTGTTTTATTTTTACCGAATATTTCTTTCCGATCCTCCTTTCCACTTCCTAAACCCGTTTCTCAGGAGCCTTGCCGGTCAGGAATGCGATTTCAATCTGGAAAATGTGTATTGGTCACTGAAAGGGATTTATCATATTGTCCTTTTTAACGTTGATTTGCATGTTATTTATTATCGCGCGTTTTTTGCTGGTTTGCCGGTGTTCCTGCTTTTGATTGTGTAAATGTGTTAGCTTGTGTGAGTAACTATGTTTGGTGTATGCGTTTGTAACTGTGTGTGTATACGTATACGTACGTATGTGAGTCTGTATGTATGTATGTACGTATGTATGTGTGTATTTGCATGTGTATGTATGTGTAAATTTATACATTGCAATAACAATGCATGTCTGTGTTTTTTAACAAAAAAGCTCAGGCCTACCATTTCACAAAAGGTGTCAAACATATATGCTTAGTTATATCTAGGCTTAGTTTATGTGTTTATAGTTGTCTAGGCTATAGTGGGTTTAGCCTTACATTTCTCTCGACATTCTACTTCTACCCCTTCCCTTTTCCTAGTCACACTTTCTCGCCTACTATTCTCACATGGTATAAAGAGCATTACCTTCCTAGGATCCTAACTTTAATGGGCCCACCACCTAAGTAACTGCTAGCCTAGGCCCCGTGGCGTCGCCCATAGCCCCTAGGCTCGGCCCCTTGGCCCGTCGCCCCTAGGCCCGGCCCCTTGGCCCGTCGCCCCTAGGCTCGGCCCCTTGGCCCGTCGCCCCTAGCTCGGCCCCTCGGCCCCGTCGCCCCGTCGATTCCGTCGCCCGCGCCCAGCCCGTTCCGTCGCCTTGCGATCGGCCCGTACCTAGCCTCG